CATGTTATTTACTTCCAGATACATGGCAGGATCAATACAACCAGAAACTTTGGCCGCGACATATACATACAGGCATCAGGACAAAAAATTTCAAGAATACGGTCCATTTGCATTTGTGCTCCCGTAAACAATGTCTACAGGCTGCACCTCAACGGACTCTCCGTTGTCGTCAACAATAAGGCAGTGTTCTGCAGGATGCCGATTCCTCCCAGGATCTTCTACCAGATTTTGGTGCTGTTCCACCCATATTGCTTGATTGCTCTCTTGACACTGTTGAGCAAGGAGGTACTAAACTGTCATATATCAAAAAAGAGACAGTTGTAAAATTTGAAAAAATATATTGGCACGCAAATGCATGCTTCTATTAGGTTGTCCCAAAAGTAAACTCCATTTTTTCAGATTTTTTAAGCTAAAACTCATATATCTCAATCAGACCATGTACAGAGATAAATCCCAAGGTTATGATTACCAAGGTTTGCTGTATACAACCACATATGTGGGATGAGCCTGCTATTGATAAGGACGGAGTTTTCCATTTTTCGACTTTTGTTTTTTTCTTGCTTTTCTAAAGCGGAAAAAATTGGGAAAGTATATTTTTATACATGCCAGTGCGTCCACTACATATCGACGAATTTGGAGGTTTGTGGGATTGTTTTTTGGACAAAAATTCAATTCTGTGGCATTTGGAAATTTTTAGATTTTGACCTTGAACTCTGCGTGGATGAAACTTTTTGCAAACGTCTGAATGTTCATGTAGAGCTTGCTTTTCTCTATCCAAAAATATGTCGTCTTGTAGCTTACTAAATAAACCGATTTATTTAGGAAAGGAGGAGTTTACTTTTGGGACAACCTAATAGAAAGTCCAGTGTAAAAAACAGGTGATGACTTTTGTTCTTTCATTTCAATAATCAAGATTTCACAATGTCACATGATTCACCGCGTTCACAACGCCAGCAAAAAAGGCACTTCAGTAGGAATCGATGGAAAATGCACTCACCTGCTCAAAGCGCTCTAATATCGGCTCAGCTCGGTCAAGAACCGCGGCAAGACGACAGAGATTTTCGGATTTTTTCGTCAACGCAAGGCGTCGTAGGTGATCCGTATGTGAAAGACGAACTCGAGATAAAACATCCATTGATGCTAAAAAAAACTTACGTTGTAGCATGTCTGATCAAATCTCAACATTTCAACGTACGCAAAGCTTTTGGTTTGACAATTTGTCTGGTGCCAAGCTTCAATCGTGTCAGGGGAACGGATCTTTTCATTCGCAGTGTAGCCACATCTTTGTTTCCCAGATCAGCTCGGCCTTCAGATGGACTTTCCGCCATCCTATTTTTCGCGATGACTGCATCCTGCAAGTGACTATTTAGATTTCCAACCATGCGCCCTTAATTCATTCAAAAATTAATAGTGTAATGCACACCATGCGCGCTACTCATTTCTAATTTATTTACTAGTGAGCCGCAATGTAAAGGTGCTACATTTGCATTCGCGCGCTGGGACCTCCCTCGGTTACCACTATTTGCAAATTTTTGAATTAAGCTAACATTTTTTATATATTAAATCATTCTTTCTCTGCCTCTTTTGGAATGATTGGATATCTATCAATTAAATAACACACTTCAAAGTTTGTTACGTAAAAACACTTTTACTTAGG